TTGACAATTTGTTCGGCAAAAAACCGCTTGGCCTTGAAAATTTGAAATACTTTTGTTTTACAACTCGAAGACGAAGTGAAAGAAATGGTTTTAGAACCTCTATATCTCACAGGAAAGCTCAGATATATTATACAGATGTTTGGTACTATTGTAAGTGCTTGTTGACTGCAAATTCATTTGTCGTTCATTGCAAACTTTTCTGAACAATTTATATTTTCAATGAACAGCGCTGGAGATACTCTTTCCATAAATTCCTGCATTCCCCCACACTGCATAGCGACATCGGATCTCCAACAACGGCGAGCAAGGACTGGGCACGAGTCACGGCGGCGTTCAAGAAACGTGGATCGGAAAGAAAACCAAAATCAAGCTCAGATAGATCTGAGTTCCGACCTTCGATCCACGAACACGTCTTCATCGTTCTGACTGTACTGATAAACAACGCCTTGAATTCCTTACCTAAATGTTAAGACATTATATGGAATATTATAATATAGCATTTGTAAATTCTGAACGCTGATTGCGGGCTAAGAGCCGTGTTGATATAACTCAATGTCAACACGGAAACGTCGGAAAATTTCTCTCTTTATATTTCTTTGTGCTATATTATAAAACAAATATAAAACATTTTTTCCGTATTGATAAATAGTTATATCAACACAGCCTAGACCTAAGCCTTCTATTTATTATTTATATTTTTTTAATATTCAGCGCTTTTTCACATGAAAAGACTGGGACTAGGTAATTTGGGGGCGGGGCGGAGGAAGGACACAAGCCTGACGCAAGCGAAACTTGCTTCCTCCGCCCCGCCCCCAAATCACCTAGTCCCAGTCTTTTCATGTGAAAAACCGCTGAATACTAAAAAAATATAAATAAGACTAGAAGGCCTAGGTCTAGGCTGATATCAACACTTTCTCGTTTTTCCAATTTCCGCTGAATCTATTTGCATTTATTGAAGTGTAGACAAACAGGTATTTAATATAAATTTCTGTCAACCAAAGTTTTTAAAAACAAAACATTTACATGTACCTTGGACGCCTTCAACGGTTCCAACGTGAACATCACCAAGACCTTTCTTCCTTAAGCCGTGTCTAATTCTTTCTACCTAATGCACAAGAATATTGACATTTTTTGCGAATTCACAGAAACGTACAAAAAATCTAAGTGATGTAATTTATTGTATTTTTCCGGTCCATAACTCCAGGTCTGTCAGCCTTCTGATTGGCTGATGCTTCGTGCTAAAACAAACTTTTTAAGTCAAACTTAAAAAACTACCCAATATCGAGAAATCCACCCACCCTATAATGATATTAATTAATTTTAAAAAGTTAAGAAAATAAACTGAATGAATTAACTTCAATAGACAGACGTCGTGTAAAGCCTGACCAAAATGCGAAAAAAAAGCGAACATGAACATCGAACAACTTATCCTCAATTATATAATTTGTTTTAAAAATATCTTAAACGGTACTTTAAACATGATTTCTGCACTCAGTTCGGTCAAATATCTAAACATGTAATCAGTGTATGGTGTTATATGTATGTACCTGATCACGGTATGGTGTTACAACTCCAATACTCTTGCTCCAGTCTTTAGGCCAGAGATGAACAAGCTCCTCCACTCTTTTCACAACTTCTGCAACTTCAGCATCATTATAGTACGCCAGACTTCCTTCAACTTGCTGATCTACACCTTGTGCGGTGTAGAATGAGAGCACTGGTACCAAGTCATGAGTACTTTGGTCTCCCTTAGCAATCAATTCGCCACCATAAAAACAATCGGACGGAAACTCGAGAATTTTGGCATGGCAACGGTAGTTTTCAAATAATAAAACTACATAAGGTGGTTTGTCCTTGACTGACGAAGACTTTAGATTGCTTGAAGTGTTGTTGTACTGTTCGTAATGAGTGTGCAGGCGTTCAACGAGAGATATCTTTAGACCAAAATCTTCAGCCCATCGACATTTTGAATAGACTCGTAAACCCATCTATAGAAAAGTTGAATTACAGTATATATGTTGCACAGTAAAACCATTTATATAGTCTATACAAGACTGACTTAATTTTCATAAAGACGCATCTTAACAGTCTTAACAATAACAAACTTTAAGAGGCGAAATAGTTCGCGCGAAGCGACAAGTAAAAAAGTAGGAACTGATCCAACTTTTTCGTGGCGAATTTTTTCGCTTAGTGGAAAACGGGCTTTAATGGATGACTAACTGTTTGCGTGTGGGTGAAGTAATTGTTGCGACTGATATAAGACATATCAGGCATGTAGCCATGCATGTAAGTGGCCAAGTATAGAAAGGTTAACCGTAGTGGTGTAGTCGAAATACAGTTTGGTGTGACGGGGACATAATCAATAATTATTTATGCCAAGCATGCTAGCATTTTATTCAAATTACCTATGATCTTGTCCCTAGAATGGATTTAATGAATTTTTGAATCAGTTTTGTGTGGAAAAAATGATCAGTTGAAAGAATGAGATTAAAGCTATTTCAACATCCTACGCTTGGACTTGGTAACATTGTGGAAGCTGCATGAACGCACGCTTTAAATCTAGTTCTAATTATGTCTAAGTACCTAGGGGCTAAACTATGGAATCAGATACCTGAAGAGATACGCAATTCGGTATCGTATAATTCGTTCTGTAAAAAGCTATCTTCCTCGACCTTAATCTCGACTTAAAGTAGTAGTTAATTTTTTGTCTAAATAGGTATATAATTGTATTTGTTATGTATGTAATATTAGAGCTAGTATATAAATAATAATTTGTAAGTACACATCCCTTTTGGAAATCAGCTTTTGCTGAAAAGGTCAATGTGTTTAAATAAAGTTTATCTATCTATCTATCTATCTATCTATCTATCTATCTATCTATCTATCTATCTATCTATCTATCTATCTATCTATCTATCTATCTATCTATCTATCTATCTATCTATCTATCTATCTATCTATCTATCTATCTATCTATCTATCTAGCTATCTATCTATCTATCTATCTATCTATCTATCTATCTATCTATCTATCTATCTATCTATCTATCTATCTATCTATCTATCTATCTATCTATCTATCTACCTGCTTATGGTCTCCAGCCAAGACAATCTTTGTGTTCCCATCAGCCATTACGAGCGGAGTCAAACACTCGGGTTCCAGGGCCTGCGCGGCTTCGTCAATCAATATATGCGTGAAACGCAATCTCTCATTTTGATAAAATTTCCACAACATACGAGCGGTCACCAAAGTTGTAATAATCACGTTGTGGTCACGAATTTCATTCCATGACGGTTCCTTTATTACGTTCGTTGTTTCTAGGAAGAAAACAAAACAGGTGTGACTTTTGCTTGTCTGTACGACAAAAATTGACAAGTTTTTATGCCAGTTACACACGGGCAATTTTTCTTTGTTCAAAAGCTGTTGTGAATTAGGTAAAAAATGTAAAGCCCTGGTCAAATGAGGATAAGAGATGATGGAAGTAGCAACTCTCCCGTCAGTTTGACCTCCAACTTTCATCTAATCTCACACAACTATCATGAAATTTGACCTAGTTCATATTTTAATAAGAGTTCTTGCTCGTTTGACCGGTAATATCCAGCAAACTCTCACCCAACTCTTGTTCTGGTTTGACTGGGGCATGGAAGTTGACTACACCTTTGTGAACCGTTCATACGAGTATATGCCAGGCATCATATTTGGTCCATGAAGATGGAAGAACATGAAGCAGTATTTGGTAGAGTCAAATTGCATTGAAGCACTCTTCTTACATGCTTCGAAGGCAGTGAGAATTAAGAAGTATCCTAATTAGACAATTTATCAATTCTTGTTGTCCGGGGCAAATAAAAATTGTGAAAGAAACAATTTCTCGTCTATACGGTCCTTTAAACATATATGTACATGTTGATATAACTCTTTCAAAAACTCATTAATAATTCATGAGGAAAACACAAAGAAAAATCATAAGCGTGTAGTATCTTTATAATTATGTGATAGAGATTTCCCTTGATTTACATAAAATTTAACTTTGATTTTCTCGACTTACACAATATATTTTTTGAAAATTACTTCGCCAATGAACTTACTAGATTGACCGGTTTTGAAGCAATTTAAAATATTCGCAGTGCGTGTTTTATCAGACCTAAAAATACTCGGCTTCGTCTCGTATTTTTATATTTGATAAAACACTGCTGCTCATGTTTTAAATAGTACATACATACCTTCAATAAGGCAATATTTTCGTAGCTCATCGGGGACAGTTGTAACCTTGAGGTGAAGACCAAGAACTCTCAATGGTCGAATACTAAATGGTGGTTTCGCTTGTATTTTTGCATCCAAATGTGCAAGATGAATGTTGGCAGCGCTGTTTGTATGGGTGCAGATTAGAACTTTATTGCGTTCTGATTGGCCAATAATTGACACACAAGCGAGGCTGAGCGTGAATGTCTTGCCAGTACCAAATGGACCAATCATAAGAATTGGCGGAGTAAGACTGGGATCAAGAATCATGGTAATCGCTTTATCTTGATTTGTGTTCGGTTTTTTGTCCATAAACCCAGAATGGTTTAATTTCTATGGAATTGGAAATATCTGTTAATATAAACAATGGTGTACACACGCCAAAAATTGCAGCCATGCAAATCGGGAGCATGCATGGGTATTGAAATGGAAAAATGATTCATATATAAAGAATTTTGACTAAAATTATGTTAAGCCAGGTTTCCATTTGGTCGTGGCTGTAAAAGTAAAGGTAATTATTCTCCCTTGCTGCTGAGAGCTGAATTGCGAAGCTTAAACACGGCTGAGTCAAAGGCTTACTTGAGTACCTCTGGCAGTCACCATAAGACCCATGTCTGATCATGGAGCTCAGCTAAGATGGAAGACAAAATCAAAGTCGCCGAGCTATTAGATAATCTAAATATGCGAAACAGTCTTCACAACCTGTGTGCAATTCAACTGATTGTAGAGACATATCGCCACTTTATTTCATTAGCCACCTTGACATGGTCGCGATCGTCACGGCGGCATGGAAACCAGGCTTTCAAATAACACAATTTCACATGCGGCGACGACGGTATTACTAAGCTAATACTTATGGGAAACAAACATTTTTTGGAGACTCTCTTTCAAACATAGGAAGACAAATGTGATAGAATTACCCACCTTATACTTATAAGAAACAGTTTCTACGTTTGGAAGAAGAACTTGAGTTTTTTTCTTGCACATATCAATAGCCTGATGCATCTCACACATTGGAAGACGATTGTATCTGAACTTGAGATCAATGCAAATTACTTGATCGTTTTTGAAACCATAGTCTTTGCATAACACTTCATTCAACTTTACGATAACCAATTGATAAGTCTTCAATTTGATGCTACATTCGTATACTCTATCACTCTGAAAGTGTCCCACCTTTGGTCGCAAGATCACAGACATAACTGAGCGTTTAATAAGATGGCCAGCAACTTCGTCCATAACCAGGTAGTCAGATAAATATATTTCTCCAAAAAATTCTCCCGGTCGGGCAAAAACTGACTCAACGGCGCTTTGAAAGCTGTTAACTATTTTCATTGCACCGTTTTGTATATCATATCTAAGTAAACAACATGAATGTAAAATTTTATTTCACCACAACAACATCTTGAATGTTAGCCTGGAGGTATAAGAACAACAACAATAACAAACACGAACATATAACCAAACAAAAACAAAAACAACAACAGTAACAACAACGACCTGATCAGCAACAACATGATCAACAACAATAATCTATACGGTGTATACTCTTTTTTCGTTTCTGATGGAGGTCTACGTCGTACGTTAGATAAACAACACGAAACTTTGTTTCACTCATATTTACCTGGCAATCTCTGTCTGAATGTGTTGCTCTTCAATAAACAAGATATCATGCCATTGTTTGCAGTATGTTTCAGGTTTGAATCCCACAAACTCTGCAGGATCAGGCAAAACATTTGGAATACTGTACTGCTCACATAAACCACCGGAATCCATTCCTATCAAATCTTCACATAGCACCAATTCCATTTTCTCTACAGACCATTCCAATATGCTACAATGTGTTGTGCGCGTCGATGGCTCTTCCTTACTGCTGCAAATATCTTCACTTATAACCGAGACACAGAGTGAGCGAGCAAGTACCGAGTCATGACCAAAATCAAACACTAACTTCTGCTGGAAGTCACCAAAAACACTTGAAGAGAACTGAATGCAAAACTGCACGACCGACTCTTGCTTGGCAGAATCTTCATCAAAATCCTCCTTAAGCAGCCGGATACTTTGCATGTTTGAAGAATGGTTTTTTCCCGGACTGCAAAGGAATTTGAATTTGTCCAAATGGGTTTCCCATAGAAAGGAGACTTGGCTTAACAGTAGTTTATACTTGGTCTACAAATGGAAATGAATGGAAATTATGATTATACCGTTAACAGCTCTTCACACTAGTAGGCTAATGCAAAAAGGATCTCGCGGTTTTATGTTGTTTACTTTAATACCAGGATCCACAATGTTGGATAACCTATCTTTCAGATGCAAAATTTGTGCACGTGTTTATTTTGCTGCTACATTTTACCTGAATTCGAACATCAAATTCCCACATATGGTCTTGTGGTCCATCCAGTTTCACTTGCCATTGTGGACTGCAGTTCACTGTTACACCAGGCAGATCATCCTTAAGCTGGAAGAAAAAAAATGTGATTGCTGCTAAATAACAAGTTAACTATAAATAAAGTACTGGTGATACTGTATAAGCCAGCCTAAAAAGAGGAATCAAGGCGTCAAAGCACTCGTGCAGCAGACGTTGGTCAACCGAGTCAGAAAATAGAATTAATTCATTCCGTTATATGTAGCAGTTTTGTAATTGGAAGTAAATATGTATGATTGAAACATGTTCAATTTTCGTGCTTCGATAATGCTGAATCTTTTCAAATATGTGGTAGTAGTGATTAATACATGAATTTTAGTTTAATTTGCTTGGTCAACAGTCCTGAACTTCACTACTGTTCTGTAACTATTACAGCCTAGTATTTGGTTTGCTACGCCGTCGCGTGACCGTGCGTGGTTCTTCCCATGCGTGTCGTATTGCGCGCTCCTTAACGTAGCAAACCAAGGCGCCTGAAAAAGAAACGGAAGAAAATACTTGGAGTAAATGACGTCGACTCACGAATGATCAGAGAATCACTTGAGAAATAAAATTTTACTAACCACGTGTTCGCCTTTATGTTTGATTCGACGACGAACCTTTTCACTAAAACTTTCAGGCAAAACTCGTTCCTTTCGAAGCTGTGCGAGATATTGAGCCCGACGTTGATACGATGTTATCCAATAAGCACACTCTTCACGGCCATGCGCAAACGTACACTTATTACCAAAGTAACAGTGACCTTGCTCAAACCTAGAAGGGCCACAAATTTATCAGCAAATCGCCGTTATGTGTCATCCTTTTTAAATAAAATTATTATTATATGGAAAAAATTACACAGTAACATGTACAATCCACTGCATGGGTCTTGGTTCTCGCCAGCTTGAAAGCCTAGAGCTAGGTCCAGATTCTACACATTTTGACTCTACCAAGCCCTGAAGATTCTCTCAGGATATATTCCTGTTTCTACTTGTAGTAACACTGTATCTATAAAAGTTCGCCTTTACTGTATTTCTAGGGTGAACAGTTTAAAACTGAAACCTGCTGTGTTGGTGTAATGTACTCAGGTGAATAAGATGTTTGTGTGATGTTACTCTGAGTGTGTACCTTCGTTCCGAAATATCGCATACTCGAACCGTTCTGACCGCGTAGCTCAGTTGGAAGAGCATTGGGCTAGTATTCCAAAGGTCGTAGTTCGAATCCCGCCGTGGCCAGGCATATTTTTCAAGCCTGCCCGGTGTGGGTACACAGTTTAGAACTGGTCGAGTTCTTTACTTCTTGAAATCGAAATTTCAAAATCCAACATTTTTGACAAAAACCTTTGACAAAATCTCGAGTTTTCACACGAGAACTAGCAATCGGACCCAGGATCTCTGCAGTGGTGAAAGGTAGTCATTTTATCAGGCTCATATGTTGTTAACAAAGCATACAAACACAAAAGAAAAATCAGAGATTTCTAACCTGCGACATAATTTATATCGGCCCATGTAGACTCCATCCGGGGCAGGTCGAACTTTCATTGCAGATTTTGTGTTAAGTTGCTGACTTTTTATGACGTTGACTCTATGCTGATGATCGGAACAATGATACTCTAGCTGTGACATAGACGAGAACATTATATCACAGAATTTACATCGCAATTTTTCGTGCTCCTTGACTAATGAAATGTCGAAATCTTGACTGCTGGTTGTCGTTGTACTTGAAGTCGCTTTCTTCTTCTTGTTTGCACCTGCAACAATAACTAATGTACATGACAACAAATTTATAGTTTGCCGATTTTCATAACAAATTCTTCTGGGCTAAACTAAGATTGGTCAGTTTCAATAAATACCAATCTAGTATGAATACGTTTAGTGATTGGCTTTCTGAAATAAAAGTGATTAGTGTTTATGACTTTTTCTTTAGAAAGACAAGTTACGTAGTTTATTGTTTTTTACTGACATAACCAACCAGCCACAAAGCCTGTTCATGTAGGTATGGTAAGACACATCAGTTTTATTGTTTATTTAAAGAATTCATGGTTTCTAATTGGCTAACAAGCAGCGGTGAAATAGTCATGTCAACTCATTAGCTGACCAAATATGAAGTTGTGACACCAATGGTGCAATATAAAAAATATTGCACACGACTGACGTCACTTGGTGCAATATAAAAAAGAACGAAACAAACGCACCGTGTTTCGAACTGAAAGCACTCGTCTTCTAACATGCAACGGAAGTGAAATTATATTATAATCCGACAACTACATGACTAAGGCCTGTTTTATACGTCGAATTTTGGTCGCGTCGAAAGCAAGTAAGACAATAGATGAGATGATAAACCTCATTAAACTTCATTATCTGTTGCTTGAATTGCATTCGACGCGACCGAAATTCGACGTATACTGAATAGGCCTAAGACAAGAAATACAACGTGCAATAACCACTGCGCCACCAATACATACAATCGATATTTTTCAAGGTGGAAATGTAAGTTTCAATTAATAAGAAAAATTCTTTCTATCGAGCGAAATTCGAACTCGCACCTTCCGAGCGTCGTTTTATGCATTAAGAGAGTTAAATAGGTGGTAGGTTAAAGTTTATATCGAAAGGAATTCGGGTTTCTTCGTCTTAAAAGACAGTTGACCAGTTGACCTGCTACCAATATCCGCTTAACTCAAACTTTTACTTGGCCTAAATCGTCACCCATTGGATGGGCATCCATTTCATTCTGAAGAGATAAAGATGTTGTGGAAGGACCAGCTGAATCCTGGTTTGAATCATCGACGACATTTTGGAATGCCAAGCATGTCTTCAGTACTTGGCACGTCGAACGCGTTTGAAAAGGATTGTAAAGAACGGAGCGTTCCAAGGTACTTGGTTCTAGAACGAAGCCCAGAGTCGTGGCATACAGTTCCTGGACTTCCGTAGTGATGAAACGCTTGTGTTCTTTTAAACCTCCATCACTTTTAAACACTGTTTCAACTTGTTAATAATTCATCAATAATGAATTTATCAATGGGTTTCAGTTTAGTCTTTTCAATGTTGCTATACATGGTGGTCAACTTAAAGAGCAAATGAAACTTACCTTTTCCGTAACATAGTGTCCAAATTTCCGCTTCATCTTGTCCATGCGCGAACATACATGGAATTTTGACACACTTTTTGCTTTTTTTGAAATGTTTGCACTGATAGGGTTCAGCTGTACATTTCGGAGGCTTTCGTGGATTCGTCCAATTGGAAGTGTTAACTTCTCTATACCAAAGCACAAGTCTGCTCTTACACGAATTACATATTTGCGACGAAAATACTTGGGGAGTGTTGCATGTAGGGCAGATTCGTCTGAGATGTGAGCCAGTTGAAAGAACATGGTCAAAGTTCGTTGGCGTATCGTCCAGCGAGGTTTTAACGTTGTTGACTAGTAATAAATTAATGGAGGAATAATTAGATCGCATTGCCGCATGATTCCATAACTAAACAAGAGTTATGCAATGTGGAGGGGTTAAAGATTTTCTTTATTAGTTATAAAGTTAATGAAGGGGTATTGCAGTGACATTCGATTAATAAACTAGGGATCCAAGGATAGTGTGAAGTTTCAAATTGAAAAAGATACTGCAAGCACTATATAGGTTCGCCGACAACCTAGAAAAGCTGATGGCTTACACTACGAAATAAACAATTACCAAAGGCATTTCATCTCATGCGCTCGGCGCACGACGTTTGAAACAAGCCTGACACATCAGAAACGTGCCTTGTGAAACTGACACAATTTATCTATTTATTGTGATGCTACACGCATGCTAAATTTCAATTGTTTCACCAACAACCAAATTTTGCATATTCTAAATTTTCATTTGCATTTGTATTTGCAGCTGTCGCTAAAAGCATCCCCACGAGGCTACTGCTATGCTAAACTTATCTTAAACTATAATTGAAATAGCTGTATACAATATGTTATAATAATAAGCACTACGTCGTTATATCATTGAAAGGAAGCACTTTATCTTCATCCGTTCCGTATTTTATCCGCATATCCGTTCCGTGGATCCGCTCCATCCGCTTCCGCATTTTAACCTAATTGTGACATGTTCACACAATAACAAGTCTCATTGACCTTTGACTTTTCGAAGGTCACGTTGTGTCTATTTTCAGCTTTTCGCATGTGTTGAATATTAATGTCACTTTAGATTTCAATAGTTTCACAGTTATAGCTGCAGTGTTTAAAGCAGTTTTGACAAGCTTTGATACAGTTCTGTGTACAGAATACTACAGATTGATTCTCGTAAGATCTGGTAGAGTTATCGTTGCACTGAACACGAGTTTGCACCGTTGACAACGGCGTTGTGCTAGACAGTAAACAAGGTCCGTGACAGTACATGTTGGCTACATGTACCTCCTTGCTTTTTTCTCCATTGCATAAATCTTGTTGGCGAGCCTTTAAATAAGGAGCTCTGACTCAACTGATTTCTTTCGTCTCGCAATATTTTCTTCGTAAACGCCTGTACAAACACCCGCTTCTGTTTAATAGTTGTTTACGCTTTATTGATCTGATGCAATTTTTCGCTCTTTGTACTGAGTTCTGTGATGTAGCACCTTATACAGTCAATGACAATGTATAATGAATACACGGTCTAAATAATATCGATTGGCACTTAATTGAATGCCGGTAATTATAACATCAATTTATATATTATATTATTGCGTAGAATCTCAAACATTTTCTCAATATTCATGTCTGAAATGTTTATATACTTGAAAACAACACTGTCTCGCTTCTTCGTACGTACTGTACCTCCGTATAATGAGTATACCGTGAAAATAATATCAGCACTCAATTGAATGCCTAGAATCTCAAAGATTTTCGACTCAATATTTAATACGTCTGAAATGTTTATACACTTGAGTGTTGACTGCACTGTCTAGGCGGTCTAGCTCCTTCCTAGCTCTGTATAATGAATATACCGTCTAAATATTATCGACACTTAATTGAACGCCCGTAATGCATAAGATCAATTTATATATTGCGTAGATTTTCAAAAATTTACTCAATATTCACGTCTGAAATGTTTATACATCTGAAAACAACACTGTCACTCCTTCCTAGCATATCGTCACGCCATCGTGATCTACGGCTTGATAGCGCATGCGCATTTGCGCTACTAAAAAATAAATCGGGTGTTCCGGGGTAAAGATCCTTTACACAACATGAGAAGCGAATGTTCTAAAATTTACAAAAAAATACAATAACAAAAGCGATTCCCCGAAATTTTTGTGAACTTGGCAAAACGATAACAGAATATGTAAGTAAGTGAACTGAAATTGCTTAAATAACCTTCAAAGTACTGACAAAGCACAATAAATCACTACGAACATAAATCGTATACACCCCCCGGAAAGTTTACTGTATGACTGACTGACTGAATGACTGACTGACTGACTGACTGAATGACTGACTGACTGACTGACTGATAAGTTTGAATTTCCTCCCAGTCATCACAATACTGTGAAGTTTCGAAGAAACTTCACACTAAAAATGACCCTCACTGGACATCTCGCGAGAACAATTTGGGGAGGACTGAATGAAATATGGAGCACAGATAAAAATTAGTGTGTTCTGTACGTTCATAAGTGCGTTAATCACGTTCAATAGAGCAACTTAGCCCAATAGTGTGTTTCAGAAATACCTTTGTTATCATCACAAGCCTTTAAAGATTTCGTTTTGAGACATTCCTAGGGCAAAAATGGAAGGTAAATATTTTGATTTTACTTGGTAATAAATATATCAAAGTATGGGCTATTGTTTAAGCAAATTTGCAGTAATTTTAGAGATTTTATTGCAAACCTATATTCGCTCCCCTCAGTATTTCACAAAGTGTCTGCTACTTTAACTACTTTCTGGAAGATGCATAATTTAAAAAAAAGGAGTTGCAAGTAAAACAAAGATAAAAAATGCTCACTTCAGTCTGCTCCTGTTGTTTCTTTCTTTCATCATTTTTCTGTTTCTCGAGTTTTTGTTTATTTTCCTCTCTTTCTTTTCCTTGGTGTGCTTCCACTTCTTGTTGTTTCCTTAGTTTCTTCTCTCTTTCCTCTTGTTCTTTTCTCTTGCGTACTTCCACTTCTTCTTGTTTCCTTAGTTTATTTTCTCTTTCTTCCTGTTCGTTTCTGTTGCGTGCTTCCACTTCTTCTTGTTTCCTTAGTTTATTTTCTCTTTCTTCCTGTTCTTTTCTGTTGCGTGCTTCCATTTCTTCTTGTTTCCTTAGTTTATTCTCTCTTTCTTCCTGTTCGTTTCTGTTGCGTGCTTCCACTTCTTCTTGTTTCCTTAGTTTCGTGTCTCTTTTCTCTTGTTCTTTTCTCTTGCGTGCTTCCACTTCTTTTCGCTTTCCTACTTCTTCCTCCTGTTGTTTCTTTGCTTTCTCGATTTCTCTTTCAATCTCCTGAAATGTATGCAAGACAAATAATATAAAGACGACTCCGTTAACGACACTAACTCTTAATTAGGTTTAATACACCATTGCTTCAATCCTTCCTTGGGACAAAGTTAATCCGTATTTGGCCAAATTTTATCCTAAAAAGGACTGGCAAGCGCCCATTAATTCATGACGTTTTGCTTTCAGGAAAGAATGGAAGAAATTCACCTTAGCTAAACGGTGCACCTTGTTTATTTTTTTAATTCACGTAGTAGTTGTTTTCTGACACCGCAAGGTACAACGAAAAATGAGTTATAGAAACCTAAAAGTATAAAGGCATACGAAAACCACAAACTTTATTCATTACCTTATCTCTAGCCATTTGTTCCCTTTTCAATTGTTTCGATCCCTTAACCTTGATAATTCAACATGATGTAACGATTAGACATTTATGCATGCTCGAATAGAAAACCAGGCAATGATGGCTTAACAAACCTTACAAGTCAGAAAATTTGAAGGCCAAAGTATAAGTTTGTTTTTTATCATCGAATGACATTTTATTCTTGTATTAACAAGCCTGGTATAACAGGTGTTTAGAAAACGTTGAAAACGGGAGCTAATCACTGTAGCTATAATAAACATGCAAGAACGTTTAAGAAATACTATTTCACAACTGGCCGGAGCGTTTGTTTGCCGTGATATCGATCAGCAGTATCCACGAAGTCGCTTCTACACAGTAACTACCTAAAAAAAGTTGGTTTTTTTACAATACTCTCCTCTATATACCTTTGCACTTGCGGTATTTTGAGAAATATCTTTTGTTGCACTTTGCTCAATTCCACCTGAGGCTTCATTTAATTTCTACAGGGACAAAAATTATCCAAAGTAAGTATAAAATATTTGCCAGAGCGAGCATATATATATAGATAATAGAATAGGGAAAAAATAAATGGTACACATGCAAGTCAAGGATGCTTAATGACTTAACGAGTTAATGTGGGGTGGCAGTATGATACATGATTTTTTTGTATGGAAACTTACTGAAAGTATCACAAAAGATCAGCGAGCAAAGACTAAAACTCTTATTATAGGACACTGCGTTATTCGACATCCAGAGATGAAACCATGCAAGCTATAGTTTTGTGAGAACCACAGCATGGAGTAGCTGGGTGAAGCACGCACTGTTTATAACGTACAGTGAGAAATCCAAACAGGAAACAGTGCTGAATGCTGCTCAGTAACCGTAGGACGTAATGCTATAGACAGAAACATGTAGAAGGGGGGATTTTGTAAGGCCCGGGTTCGAAACGTAATTAAAGCCCAGGTCACACTGCACAACGATAACGATACGATAACTTGTATACGCGCGCTGATTGGTCAAATATTTATCGTTATCGTTCGACTGAAAAAAAAATCGCTCGGGTGAGCGATTTTAAAATCGTTATCGTTATCGTCAAACGATAATTTTATTATTTTCGTTGTAGTATGGACACTAACACAATTTTTTTGCCAATTATCGCGTGTTTACAATTTATCGTATTGTTATCGTTGTGTAGTGTGACCGGGCCTTAAAGCAAATCAGTGCAAGTAATAAATTATGATAATATTAATACATACCGCATTCTTAGTCACCTTACACCCATTCTATAATGGTGCATGACAATTTTGTCCATGACTACTACGATAAAATCTTCTTTTTAAGGTTTAAAAATATAAGATATTCTTATAGCAATGACAAAGTTAAAGATCTTTAATTGAATGGATTGAAGATTCAATCTATTATTCGATTCGAGGGAATCTTTGCAATGAATTAAAATCGTTCTTATCATGACATTTTTAATCATGCAATGAAAGATAAACTGTATCTTTAGAAATACTAGCGTAAATCGAAACCTCAAACATTATATATTCTCTCGCAAAATATATTGCTTTACGTTTAGGAAAAACATACGCAATCACAAACTGCATTCTTTACCTTCTCCTTAGCCATTTGTTCTCTTTTCAATTGTTTCGATGTTATAGCCTCTGTGACTGTGTTAGCAACCTTGATAATTCACATGAAATAATTAGACATTTATACACGAAAGACAATGGCATTATTTACAAAACTCTCCATATATATACCTTTGCACTCGCAGCACTTGGAGTAATATCTTTTGTTGCACTTTGCTCGATTCCACCAGTGGCTTCATCTAACTTCTACAGGGACAAGAAAATCGTCAAAAACAGCTCTTGTGCATGTTCGCTAGATCAATGGGGGTAAATTATAAACGAAGACTCTCAATAGATTTGCCAGAGCGAGTAGGGTATGGGTAAGGTATAAAAACTAGTACATATGCACTAGGATGCTCCAGATGACGCTTAATGAGTTAAAGTGAGGAGGCAGCAGTATACGACAAATGTATGAAAATATGTATGGAAACTTACCGATAGTATCACAACTGAAGATCAGAGAATTTGGACTAAAACTATTAGCGGGACATGCATTCGACATCCAGAAGAGGAAACAAGCTAGTTTTTTTTGGAACCACAGCATGGAGTAGCTGGGCGAGGCAGGCACTATTCAGTAACTGCATGTAGGCAGCAAGGCTAAACAGAAACATGTGGAAGGGGTATTTTGCCCATACGGACCAAGTAATAAATCCAGATAATATTAACATGCAACATTTTTACCTCATCATTTGTCTCACCGACGGTCTTGCTAGTCGTTTTCGTAATTCCACCTGATACATAACACGAATTCTACAATGGTGTATGACAATTTTGTACTCAATTCAAAAATTGGAATAACACTTTTAAATGTTGGTTTGTCCATGACTACGATAAAATCATCAGGGAAAACTAGCGCCACAGATTGGGTACGAAAAATTGCTCCAAGCTCTTTGTACATATCAGATAAAAATAAGGGACGGTGATTTTAGTGGCCAAAAGCTAGGTAAAGGGCCCCATTAATCTACCATTCAGAGTGTCGACGGAGGGGAGTCGGGTACCCACAACTTTATAATTATAATTATTCTTTAGCCTCGTAGATTACCTATTGCCTATTTTTATTACCTATTGCCTATTTTTATTATACCCTTCCAAAAAATACGTAATTTCAATTAATCTCGAGAAAGACTGGGTTCCCGATATCCTAGTCCAGGGCCTTTTGCCGAGCACAGCCCTTATAAGTTATACCACTGATTGAAAGGCGGTCTTGAAGATTGAAAAATATTTCACTCTCTCAGAATGAAGAATGGGAAATTTCCAATCATTTGAGTTATGTGGGAAGCCAGCCTGTCATATGCAGATGTGAAAAAAAACTATGCTCAATCCAACATTATGCAACAAAATGCAGACAAAAAAATGTTTCCTTTTTCCTCCCAATCATCTTCTTTTCCTCCATTTGACTCTATAAACCATCGCATTTTGTTAAATAAAATGAATGAGCAATTTGGAATCTTTGGCGTAGAATTAAAATGGTTTGAGTCATATTTAACAAATAGAGAACAGCAATGTAATGTTAATGGAGAATTATCTAGTAATAAAATTATCACCTGTGGAGTGCCCCAGGGACCTATACTGGGACCACTGCTGTTCCTATTATATATTAATGATTTGCCCGATTGTTTGAAATCAACTAATCCATGCATGTACGCGGATGATACTCAAATCTTTTCATCTTCCTACGATGCAAATGAACTTGTTGTAAATTTAAATTCAGATCTTGCGCATGTCTGTAACTGGCTTAAAGAAAATAGGCTGCAGATGCATCCATCAAAATGTAAAATGATGTTTATTGGCTCCCCGTATAATCTTAATAATATAATGTGTGAGGAACCCGTAGTGGCTAATGCAAAACCCATATCACGAATTGCTACACAAATGTGCCTAGGAGTAAAACTAGATGAAACCCTTAATTGGGATAGTCACATTGAAATGATATGCAAGAAGGCAAGCGCTGCTATTGGCGCTATGAAACGTATAAAGCCCTTTGTTCCAATGCATACCTTAGAATCGATTTATAAAAGTCTTGTGCAGCTCTACTTTGATTATTGTTCCCCCCTTTGGGACACTTGTGGTAAGTTGCTAAGAGACAAGTTGCAAAGATTTCAGTCTCGTGCAGCAAGAGTCCTAACGGGTGCTAATTATGATACTCGCTCAGCTGATCTTCTCAACATGCTTTCTTGGGATACACTTGAAAATAGGCGGTCTGGTGCCAAGTCAGTATTAATGTATAAAATACTTAACGACCACACTGCGCCAGGTCTCCGGGGGTCATTCGTGAGAAGAGAAATAGATCAAACTAATTATCATCTTCGAAACACAGCAACTGATCTAACAATTCCTAAACCGAAACGAGAATTTCTTAAAAAAAGTTTCAGCGGCGCTATGCTCTGGAATCAACTCCCAAACGAAGCAAAATTGGCCGAGTCGCCTCATTCGTTTAAATCAATTGTTGGACAGCGACATGCTTCCTAATTATTTGTATATAGTAACGTGTACAGTATGTATGTACTAATATTTAGTTTAAATTTTCCTTTTAATGATTTTTAAGATCTAAACACGCCCCCCATGGAAACCAGCCTAGAGTTGATGGGGCTAGCGTGTTCTTCTTTCTGTTAATTTTAAATAAAGTATTACCTACCTACCTACCTACCTACCTACTACAACGTTATACAACTTACCAGCACAGTCTTGCATTGTGCTTCTCTAATATAACAAATACCAGCATGAGGAAACAGATGTCTGGCCTCACGGTAAAACTCCAGAGCGATCTGGGCATTTCCGTCTGCTAAAAACTTATCACCCATTTGCATTACCACATTGATAATATGACTGTCAAGGCCCAGAAACAACCACTGTAACAAATCAAAAGATTGGGGATATCTTAGACTTGCTCTATGCCTGTCTCTCAAAGGGATTTCTATTTGAGAGTTACAAAGGGCGTGCAATAACACCCCTTTGAGAGACAAACTTGGAGCATGACTATCTTAACCACCGTAACATGTGTAATCATTTGCCACACGGAACCAACTGTGGCAGCTATAACATATGTTACACTACTAATTAACCTATGGTTATATATCTACTAATCGACGGCAATACTGAACATGCATGATCATGATATAAAACCTAGTAAACTGTTCTACATTGACATCAGATCCTAAGATATTTATCGGAGGGCACCGCTTGAAGCGAGTAGTTGTAACAAAATCCCTGGGGCTTATGACTGATGAAAATTTATCGTGGAATGAGCACGTATAAATTATATATCCAAAAAAGTATCCAAAGGCCTAGGAATGTTAAGACGTGTATTCGTGATCTGGTGCCAATTAACACGCTAGTTGAGTAGTTGACATATTATCGTCTATCATTCTCCCGCATTTTGATTATTGTAGTTCTGTGAGGTATAATTGCAGAAAAGGTTTATGGGATAAACTTCAAAAATTACAGAATCGAGCAGCTCGAATAATTACTAGGAGAAACTATGAAATACGCTCTTCCCAAATTTTAAATAACTTAAATTGGCCGATACTTGAAGATAGGCGAAAGAAACAAAAATCTTGTCTAATGTTCAAAGTATTCCACAAATTAGGCCCATCTTATCTTTATCATTTGATCGAGCGACTTTAAGTTCTCCTTTTCCTTGTAAATATTGTAGATAATTCAAATGTCACGGCGCCTGGGAAAATTATCTCAATTTGGATGACAGACCTTCGTGCTTAAATAAAGTTCACTATTCTAGCTATCGTATGATTGCCTAATTAGTCTCTATATTGCAAATACTGTATCAGTGCGCACCTCGAATGTTTGCAGTCCCTGCTTAATTTTTTTTCGACATTCGAAGAAATTAAACTGCTCGAACGGATTCATATTCTGAAACAGAAACAAAACAATATATATGAATATACACTACAGCATTATACATAGAAGCGTTGAAAAATGAAACCTCATTACATACATGTAATCCCTGAGATCGACGTATGATCCCGTGAACATAGCAATTAATGAGTGATTGCAACGACATCTCACCAACTTCTATATGTAAAACCCTAAAAACAGGACACAAAATTAGGTCAATGCAACAGCGTCGCGACTGCCTAAAAGGTCAAGAGTACGTTGAAGAGGATGACATCATGACAAGCTGATAGGATTTATGCCTGCCTTTGTCCATGATAAAGAGGATGTCCACGTCATGAGCATGCTGGTGGCTAAAGAGTCCAATACGGGATAAGCAGACAGTGCAGACTCGATCACAGCGAGTGCAGATGATGCATTAGCTGTAACTCATGAAACTTAAACTTTTAGACGTTTAGGCAGGGGTAGAAGAAATATTTTATTTTCTGGGATCGCAGAGGAACATGAAAACGTTTCTGTGAGATATCGACAGGGGTACCCAGAGGGGGTACCCCTCTACCAAAAGAGGCAATTTTGCCTGAGCCCCAGCTACACCCCTGTACCCCAAATAAAATAAAAAGTGAAATATGCATAGATATGTCCAGATATTTGTCCAGATAACGGTCAAACTAGTCCCCCAGAATGCAGGATTTTGCCATTCCTGAGACTGGAGTTTAATTTCTTTTGATTTGATTTTAATGTTAAAATTTTTTCTCTCTGCAGACCACAAAAATGGTCCCATAGTCCGCCAATTTTTGCCATCTCTGACAGGGTTGGGAAGTATTAATTTTCTGGGACCGCAAGGAAACGTGAAAACATTTTCTCCGAGTTATTGACAGATCAATATTACTGATGCTGTGTGCACCGGCAGACTTAATATACGTCAGACTTAATTGCACCGTGCCAAAATACAACTACACTATACCTAAATTGCCAATATATCATAATACGATAATTAATGTACGTTATAAAATTTATGCACGAGGTTCGGCGCCAACCTCGTTCCCAGTCTCTTTCCTCTTTCCTCCACAAGAGGGAAGAACCTGGGAACGAGGTTGGTTCGGCGCATGAAAAGCACGGCGTCTAAACCCTTGTCGAATTACCTATCTCGTATAATACGACAAATGACTTGCCGTATTTTGTGCTGTGTCGAACCCAGTGAAATGAATATAACTGGTCGAACGTAATCAAAAATTGCCGAACTTAATTGATTTAGACGTTGCTCTTCTGTCGTACTTAATCGTTCTATTAGGTTCATGAAAAGCACTTTTTTCCATCCAGCAAACTGCTCTATCCATTTTCTAAAGTCGGTTTTTTGGATTTTTTATTAATTCGGTTAGGGTTAGGGTTAGACTTAGGGTTGCGGTTAGAGTAGGGGTAGGGTTTGTTACATAGCCATTTAACACCTCTTCTATCTTCCGAAAATGACGTCAGGTCAGTTTGCTGGATGGAAAATAGTGCTAATCGAAAAGTTCACCGTCTATAAGCCTTTTGTCAACACAGACGTCACTCGAACTGGATTAAAAACTGTGTTTATATCAGTTTGTGGTAATCTTCAACACATACGACAAAACATAAGATTTTAAAGTTTTCGTTTCCTTGCATGAGCGCTATGATGCAAAATGCCGCCAAAAATAGTTATACCAAATTTCTGGTGATGTCCATGTTGACAAGAACGCCGCTTGCTTAAGCTCACTATTCGAAGAATAGGCCAGCATTGACATTTGATACCGTACATAATATACAATGATAATTTTCTTTAATAATAGAAACACCTGTACAATTCATGGAAAATCAAGAAAACCTGTGTAGTATGCACATGATACACACGTCTAGCACAAGTAACAAACTAGCCTTTTTCTTAGAACAATATAAATCGCGTTTCGTCTCATAACAGGTAAAAACATGTTCATAGAAACAGCCTGGGTGCATATATCGTCTGTTAACTGAATTTAAATGAAATATGCACGCAGCCAACCGTACGAACTCATTCTAGTGCAGTGTTGCTGAAAGTCTAAAGCTTCTGCAAACACACGTCTGGGGCTCTGCAAGGGTAAATTCTGACAGGCCATATTGCGTTGAGATAGCGACACATACGAAATAACTGAATAACGACATTTGACACGAGCCGCGAGCGATATAAAAAAAGTAGAAAATAATTAGTAGAATTCCAAAAGCAACATGACAACTTAGTTTTTTCGAACAATCGAGCGACATGCATAGTAACAGCGCGTCTTACCTCGTAGTCACATCTTTTCTTAGAATGATGCTGACGGTGAAAATTGTCTCAGCTCATTAATTTTGACACTCAACGGAAAGGAAATCTACTACTGAAGCAACTGCGTATATAAAAGGTCGTTTGTTCCGTTTGTTTACATTCAGTGGCTGCTCGATATTCTTTAATTTAAATTGCCTTTAAAATTTATTTTAAGAGTTCACCCGAAATTTTATCTGGTGCTCTAGGAGGTGTTAGTATAAAAAACACCCTGCATGGCTTTCGTCCTGGCCAAACAGGCCAATTGAAAATGGCCAATATTTTACAAGTAACAACACTGCTCTTTGAACTGGCGAAAGTAAAATGTCTACAAGGCTCGACGAAAATACTAAAATTATACCTCTAAAAATATCTTCAGGTACCAGAAATCAATCAGAATATTCATCTTCTCAGCTTTACAATTAGAAAGGAAATTGTATCTCTAAATTTATGTAATAATAATATAAAGATTAAAGGTTCACTTTACGCATCATTTTACTTTAAGCATCACTTTACCTTGCCGGTATATATAGAAATTATTCATTATAAACACCATAAATTAAACATGATGCACAATCAAAGTAATGAACAGAAAAAATTATTGAGTAATGTAGCTACCAGTTTAATAGTTACAATCTGTATCATTATTCCAATCACGTTACAGCCATTATTCCTCAAAACTGATTGTCTGCAAGTGACTTTCTTCTCTGAATATTTAATACACCTGCTACACATTACTGTGCTTGTGGTTTTCCAACCTGCAAGCCGATATAAATAAATTTAAAAACATTATTCATTAAGAATATTTAAATTTTCAAATATCAAGGTATAAATTCAAATTCAAGGTATAAATTCAAATTACGAGTACACACGTCACTTAGTGGAGTTTCGGTGGTGCAGGCCATGCAACAAGCGCCTTTCTCCCTGATATCGTTTCCTCTGTGTTCGAGTATGATTGACGATTCGATTCACGTTTCGAACTCGTGACACTTACAAGCTATCCGGTTTCCTCCCGTTGGTAATGCTGGCAGAGTGAGTTGGAAACAGCTTAGCGTTAGAAATGATAAAGCTATATGTAGTATAACGTTCATGAGTTTAATTTAGTTTCGTATCTTTCCAGCATATTCAGCATATGTAAAGTTATATAGTCTGACTTATAGAATTCTACCGACGAATTTGCGTACGCGGCTTCAAAATATAGCCCTGCTTCGTGTGAACATAGTCACAGACTCAATTTCGAAGGTAAGTTCTACAATTGTTCGAAAGGTAAGTCGGTAAACCATACTTCAATTTTTAATGCACAAATGACCCTATAAACTTTGTACAGTAACTTGCGTTCCCTAACACAGTCTATATCATGCCACTATTGCATATCAATTATTATTATATAGTAGAGAGTGAGATACTGAAAAATACACAGTGAGATATTTTCCAGGGGTCGGTTGTTCAAAAGTGGGTTAGTGCTAACCCTGGATTAAAATTTAACCTGCTGTTTCAGTTTATGTATTTCTGAACGTCTGTTTATTTCAAAACGTCAGAGAAGTAAATTACTATTGATCCAGACAAGATCTCAGATGAAATATTTCCGAATTTATAGACAAGCTGTCAGGAAGTTTGCTTTGAATTTTAGGTTAGCCTAGGGTTAAGCTAACCGAGCTTTGAACAACCGGCCCCATTTCTCGAGTGAATATATCGATCACGTGACTTTTAGCATAGTAGACTTGAAGATATGATTTTTATATTCTCGTGTTAAAAACAATATTTTACTCACTCGCTGCGCTCGTTCGTAAAATATTGTTTTCACCACTCGAAGATAAAAATCATATCTTCGCACCGCCGTGTGATACCTCTATATTTAGTTTCTTCACTCGCGCAACCAACCTTTACTATCATTATACAATTACTTTATGGTTTCCGTGTTTGGATGGCCTGATCCAAACACGCGGGAATGTTGCGAGAGTTAAGAAAAGCGAGCGAGAGTTAAGAAAAGCGAGCGAAACACGAGCCGAAGGCGAGTGATTTTGCCCGCTTTTCTTAACTCGAGCAACATTCCCAAGTGTTTGGATCAGTCCATCCAAACACGGAAACCATAAAGTAATTGTTTTATAAAATAACAACAACACGGTAGTCTTCCGTGTTTGGATGGCCTGATCCAAACACGGCTTTCGACCAATCAGAATACGCGTTATATACATGTTATTTTATAAAATGATATCAATAAACTTGGCTCGTAAACAATATGAAATGAATACATTGCCGCATTCTAACACAAACAAGTGCAACCGGACAAATAGGCAATTCCATTATTCCAGCTTTTAATTTATGCGCGCAGGGGGTGACGGGAAGTAAGGTATCATATTGCTGATTAAGCAGAAAATTTTTTCAGCATAACCAGCAATATGATACCGTACTTCCCCCCCCCCCCCTGCACGCATAAACTAAAAGCTGGAATTGCCTATTTGCGTTTCCCAAATTGTCCGGTCTCGTCACTTCCCCTAGTAATTATGTAGTTCCTCCTTTTACATTATATAACATTATATAGACTATATACAATATAAAATTACGAATATTTTAAAACGTTATACA